GTCTCCGTCTTCTCATCCCAATCCCCGTCTTCCCATCCCCAAGTCCATGTCTTCATCTAATCCCCGTCTTCTCATCCCCGTCGTCACTCCCCATCTCCGTCCCGTCTTCATCTATCGTCTTCCTCATCCCAAATCACGTCTTCCTCATCCCCAAATCCCCCGTCTTTGTCCCAAATCCCCGTTTTCTCATCCAAATGTTTCCATCCCCAGTCACGTCTTCATCCCGTCCTCTTCCATCCCAAATCCCGTCTTTATCATCCGTCACCCGTCTTCTTCATTCCCGTCCTGTCTTCATCCCAAATCCCCGTCTTCGTCCCGTCTTTCCATCCCAAATCCCCGTCTTCATCTAAATCCCCGTCTTCCGTCTCCGTCTTCTTCATCCCATCACGTCTTCTCATCCCAAATCCCCGTCTTTCTCATCCCCGTCCTATTTGTCATCCCAAGTTCCGTCTTTTCATCCCAAATCCCCGTCTTCTCATCTAATCCCCATCCCAATCCGTCTTCCATCCCAATCCCGTCTTCTCATCTGATCCCCGTCTTCTCCGTCTCAAATCGTCTTCCTCATCCCCAAGTCCCGTTTTCCTCGTCTATCCCCATGTTATCTCCCAAATCCCCCGTCTTCCCATCCCCGTCCCCGTCTTCATCCCAATCCCCGTCTTTCATCCCGTCCCCGTCTTCCTCATCCGTCCCGTCTTCTCATCCGTCTGTCTTCCTCTCCCATCCCCGTCTTCTTCATCCCCGTCCTGTCTTAAATCCCGTCTTGTCCCTCATCTTTATCCGTCGTCTTCCCCGTCGTCTTTGTCCCGTCTGTCTTCCCATCCCATTCATCTGCCCATCTATTCATCGTGTTTCTCCCGTCCCCGTTTATCCCAAATCCCCGTCTTCTTTGTCTACGTCTTCTCGTCCCAAATCCCGTCTTCCCCAGTCCCCCGTCTTCCATCACGTCCCAAATCTTTGTCATCTAGTCGATGTTCTATCCCCAATCCCGTCTTTGCATTCCCGTCATCTTCATCTTCATCCCAATCTTTCCTCATCCCCCGTCTCCATATTTGTCGTCTTCCTCATCCATCTTCCTCATCCCGTCACGTCTTCATCCCCGTCCCCCGTCTTCCCATTTGTCCCATCTTCTTCATCCCGTCTTCTCATCCCCAAGTCCGTCTTCCTCCCATCTGTCATCCCGTCTTCCATCCCCATCTTCTTCATCTGTCCCGTCTTCCCTCATCCCCGTCTGTCTTCCTCATCCCCGTCACATCTTCTCATCACGTCCCCGTCTTCCTCATCTGTCCCCGTCTTTGTCCCAAATCCCCGTCTTCCATCCCGTCTTCTTCATCCCAAATCCCCGTCTTCCTCGTCCCCAGTCCATGTCTTCCATCTCCCCGTCCCCGTCTTCCTCATCCCCATCCCCCGTCTTCTTCATCCCCGTCACGTCTTCCTCGTCACGTCTTTCCTCATCCCCAATCACGTCTTCCTCCCATCTGCGTCTTCATCCCATTCGTCTTCATCCCATTGTCCCATTACGTCTTCCGTCGTCTTCTCCCAAATACATGTCTTGTCTTCCCATCACATCCCCGTCTTCCTCGTCCCCGTCTTCCCCATCCCCAATTACGTCTTCATCCCAAATCCCGTCTTCCATCCCATACGTCTTCCCGTCGTCTTCCATCCCCAAATGTTTAGTCTTTTCATCCCCAAGTCGTCTTCGTCTGATCTGAGTGTTTTCCGTCCCAAATCACGTCTTCCATCCCCGTCACGTCTTCCATCCCCAAATCCCCTAAATCCCTTCTCATCCCCGTCTGTCTTCCCATCCCCGTCCCCCGTCTTCCCCATCCCCGTCCCCGTCTTCCCATCTGTCTTTTCATCCCCGTCCCCGTCTTCCTCATCTTCTCACATCCCCGTCTTCTCATCTTCCACATCCCCGTCTTCTCATCTGATCCCCGTCTTCTCATCCCCGTCCCCGTCTTCCCCGTCCCCCGTCTTCCCCATCTAGTCACGTCTTCCCCATCCCCGTCCCCCGTCTTCTTCATCCCAAATCCCCGTCTTCCATCCCCAAATCTGTGTTTCCCCATCCCAAATCTTGTCTTCCCCCCGTCTCCCAAATCTGTCTTTCCCGTCCCAAATCCCCGTCTTTCCATCGTCTGAATCCCCGTCTTTTCATCCCCAGTCGTCTTCCCATCCCCAAATCCCCGTCTTCTCCCATCCTCTTCCGTCTTCTCCATCCCAAATCCCCAGTCTTCTCATCTAAATCCCCAGTCTTCCCCCATTCCAAATCTGCGTCTTCTCCATCCCCAAATCCCCCGTCTTCTCCATCCCAAATCCCCGTCCTCCCATTCTCCATCCCCCGTCTTCCTCATCCCCAAATCCCCGTCTTCCTCATCCCAAATCCCCGTCTTCCCTCATCCCAAATTCCCCGTCTTCCCCATCCCAAATCCCGTCTTCCCCATCCCCAATCCCGTCTTCCCCATCCCAAATCCCCGTCTTCCCATCCCAAATCCCCGTCTTCCCCATCCCAAATCCCCGTCTTCCCATCCAAATCCCCCGTCTTCATCCAAATCCCCGTCTGCTCTATCCAAATCCCCGTCTTCCTCATCCCCAAATCCCCGTCTTCCATCCCAAATCCCCGTCTTCCCCATCCCAAATCCCGTCTTCCCATCCCAAATCCCCGTCTTCCCCATTCCAAATCTGTCTTCCCATCCCAAATCCCCGTCTTCCATCCCAAATCCCCCGTCTTCATCCCAAATCTTGTCTTCATCCCAATTCCCCGTCTCCCATCCCAAATTCCCCGTCTTCCCCATCCCAAATTCCCCGTCTTCATCCAAATTCCCCGTCTTCCCATCCCAAATTCCCCGTCTTCCACATCCCAAATTCCCCGTCTTCCCCATCCCAAATTCTGCGTCTTCCATCCCAAATTCCCCGTCTTCCCCATCCCAAATCCCCGTCTTCCCCATCCCAAATTCCTCGTCTTCCTCATCCCAAATCCCCGTCTTCCTCATCCCAAATTCCCCGTCTTCCCATCCCAAATTCCCCCCGTCTTCCCATCCAAATCCTTCTTCCCATCCCAAATCTTCCGTCTTCCTTCTAATCCCGTCTTCCCCATCCAAATCTTCCGTCTTCCCATCCCAAATCCTCCGTCTTCCCGTCTAAATCCTCAGTCTTCCCCATCCCAAATCCCCCGCTTTCTCCATCCCAAATCCCCGTCTTCCCATCCCAAATCCCCGTCTTCTCATCCCAAATCCCCCGTCTTCCTCCATCCCAAATCGTCTTCTCCATCCCAAATCCCTCGTCTTCCATCCCAAATCCCCGTCTTCCCATCCCAAATCTGTCTTCCCCATCCCATACCCGTCTTCAAATCCCCCGTCTTTCTCATCCCCAAATCCCCGTCTTCCCCATCCCAAATCCCCGTTTTCTCATCCCCAAATCCCCGTCTTCCCATCCCAAACCCCGTCTTTCTCATCCCAAATCCCCCGTCATTCTCATCCCAAATCCCCGTCTTTCTCATCCCAAATCCTCGTCTTCCCATCCCAAATCTCCGTCTTCCCATCCCAAATCTCGTCTTCCCCATCCCCCGTCTTCCCCATCCCAAATCCCCGTCTTCCATCCCAAATCCCCGTCTTCCCATCCCAAATCTCCCGTCTTCCCCATCCCAAATCCCCGTCTTCCCATCCCAAATCTCCGTCTTCCCATCCCAAATCCCCGTCTTCCCATCCCAAATCCCCGTCTTTTCTCCCAATCCCAAGTCTTTGTCCAAATCCCCAATTTGTCCAAATCCCAAATCTTCCCCATCCCCAAATCCCCGTCTTCATCCCAAATCCCCCGTCTTTCCATCAATCCCCGTCTTCCCATCTGATCCCCGTCTTCCCATCCCCAAATCCCCGTCTTCCCCATCCCAAATCCCCGTCTTCCATCCCAAATCCCTGTCTTCATCCCATCCCCGTCTTCCCATCCCAAATCCCCGTCTTCCATCCCATCTCCCAAATCCCGTCTTCCATCCCAAGTCTGTATTTGTCCATCCCCCGTCTTCATCCAAATCTGTCAACCGTCCCCGTCTTCCCGTCCCCAAATCCCCGTCTTCCATCTAGTCTAGATCTTTCCCATCCCAAATCCCCGTCTTCCATCCCCAAATCCTCGTCTTTCCATCCAAATCTCGTCTTCCCATCCCAAATCCCCGTCGTCCCAAATCCGTCTTCCATCTCCAAATCGTCTTCCCATCCCAAATCCCCGTCTTCCCCATCCCAAATCTGTCTTTATCCCAAATCTATCTTCCCATCTTCCCATCCCAAATCCCCGTCTTCCCATCCCAAATCCCCGTCTTTATCCCAAATCCCCGTCTTCCCATCCCAAATCCCCCGTCTTTACATCCCAAATCCCCGTCTTTCCCATCCCAAATCTCCGTCTTCCATCTAAATCCCCCATCTTTACATCCCAATCCCCCGTCTTCCCATCCCAAATCCCCGTCTTCATCCCAAATCCCCGTCTTCCTCATCCCAAATCCCTGTTCCCATCCCAAATCCCCCGTCTTCCCCATCCCAATACCCCGTCTTCCCATCCCAAATCCCCGTCTTCCTTCAAATCCCCATCTTCCATCCCCAAATCCCCGTCTTCTCCATCCCAAATCCCCGTCTTCACCTTCCAAATCCCCCGTCTTCATCAATTCCCCTTCCCCATCCAAATTCCCCGTCTTCCCATCCCCAAATCTTCCCGTCTTCATCCCAAATCTTCGTCTTCCCCATCCCAAATCTCCGTCTTCCATCCCAAATCTCCCGTCTTCCCCATTCAAATCCCCGTCTTCCCCATCCCAAATCCCCCGTCTTCCCATCCCCAATCCCGTCTTCCCCATCCCAAATCTTGTCTTTCCATCCCCAAATCCCGTCTTCCCGTCCAAATCCCCGTCTTCGTCCCAAATTCCCCGTCTTCATCCCAATTCGTCTTTCTCTCATCTTCCCATCCTCGTCTTCCATCCAAATCCCCGTCTTCATCCCAAATCTGCGTCTTCATCCCAAATCTTCGTCCTTCCCATCAAATCTCCGTCTTCCCATCCCAAATCCCCGTCTTCCCATCCCAAATCCCCGTCTTCCATCCCAAATCCCCGTCTTCCCATCCAAATCCCTTCTTCCCATCCCCAAATCCCTTCTTCCCATCCAAATCTTCCGCCTTCTCATCCCAAATCCCCGTCTTCATCAAATCCCCCGTCTTCTCCATCCCAAATCTGTCTTCTTCCCAAATCTTCCATCCAAATCCCCGTCTTCTCCATCCAAATCCCCGTCTTTTCATCCCAAATCCCGTCTTCTCATCCCCAAATCTGTCTTCTAATCCAAATCCCCGTCTTCCCATCCCCAAATCCCCGTCTTCATCCCAAATCTATCTTCATCTAAATCCCCTGTTCTCATCCCAAATCCCGTCTTCTCCATCCCAAATCCCGTCTTCTCCATCCCAAATCCCCGTCTTCTTCATCCCAAATCCCCCGTCTTCCCATCCCAAATCCCCCGTCTTCCCATCCCAAATCCCCGTCTTCCATCCAAATCTAAATCCTTCCCATCCCAAATCCCGTCTTCCCATCCCAAATCCCCCGTCTTCCCATCCAAATCCCCGTCTTCCCCATCCCAAATCCCCGTCTTCCTATAAATCCCCGTCTTCCCATCCCAAATCCCGTCTTCCCATCCCAAATCCCCGTCTTCTTCATCCCAAATCCCCGTCTTCATCCCAAATCCCCGTCTTCCATCCCAAATCCCCAGTCTTCCCCATCCCCAAATCCCCGTCTTCCCATCCCCAAATCCCCGTCTTCCATCCCAAATCCCCCGTCTTCCCATCCCATACTCTTTCCATCAATCCCCCGTCTTCCCTATTCCCATCCCCGTCTTCCCCATCCGTAATCACCCGTCTTCCATCCCTAATCACCGTCTTCCCATCCCAAATCCCCGTCTTCTCCCAATCCCCGTCTTCCCATCCCAAATCCCCCGTCTTCCCATCCCAAATCCCCGTCTTCCTCATCCCAAATCCCCGTCTTTCCCATCCCAATCCCCGTCTTCCCATCCCAAATCCCCCGTCTGCCCCATCCCAAATCCCGTCTTCCCATCCCAAATCCACGTCTTCCCCATCCCAAATCCCCCGTCTTCCATCCCAAATCCCCCGTCTTCCCATCCCAAATCCCCGTCTTCCCATCCCAAATCCCCGTCTTCCCATCCCAAATCCCGTCTTCATCCCAAATCCCCGTCTTCCCCATCCCCAAATCCCCGTCTTTACAAAAACAAATTATTGTTTGTTTGTTTATTTCTTTGTTACCTGAGGTTGGCATGTGACATTGACAGTGAGATAGAAGATACAAGAGACTCAGTGCCTAATTTCCAAGGTCTTTCTTTTTCCCGTGATAAGTAACAGTGTTGAGTCATACCTGGGTGAGAGAGAGGGGATTATTTTTGTATGTCGGTCGATTACGTTTATTTTTCGGTGCTTAAACTACCAGGGTTATTAAGCACAGTTCACCAGGTCTTAATTTTAGATAAAGTAATTAGTTGTAAGAGAGAAATTAGACAAGAGGCAGTACATTAGAGAAAGTACACAAGTTACAGAATCGAGTACTTGTGTTGACAAAACTTCCTAACACTCCTCGTGGGTGTACAGTCGTCTTTCTGAGGTTCAGGTTAGACGTGGTGACAGTTTCTCAAGGTGTTGCTATAGCGGGCAAGGGGCAGGAGAAATAGAGTCATGGTGAGGGAGAGGAAGAAGGGAAAGGGAAGGAGGAGTGGTGAGGGATGTGAGGGCAGTGTGTAGAGAGTAGGAAGGAAGAGAAGAGGGGGCTATTTTAGGCCATGGTGCGTTGCGACTTTCCCTCATCTCCTCTTCCAACTCTCCCCTCCCAGGTCTTCTCTCCCGCCACTTTGCCCTTCCCTCCCCATACCGTTTGGCACCGAGGGGGTGGATGGAGGGTGCCAACAGAGTGTCTACTCATGGCCATTGGTCAGTCGTGGCCCTTGTGGCATCTCCTTAATCATACCCCCTCACCTCCTCTCCTCGCCCCCCCCCTCACCCCCTCTCCCACCGCCCCGCCCCACCTCCCTCACCTCACTGGTCAAGAGGTGCCATTAGAGTGTGTTCTCGATGGTAGCTGGGGCCGAAGATCGCTGTACTTTTTACCTTTATCCTCTTAACCACCACCGCTTGGGCGATCGGTCACGTCTTTGTTACGCACTGCTGGCAAGTACTGGGCATGCACTGGCTCCCGAATGTACCTGAACCCGCTCCAGTGCTTGTCAAGTCTGGTCTTGAAAGAGCTCACACTCGGTGCCGTCACAACACTCTCTGGCAGATTGTTCCAGGAGCTCACAACTCTCACTCCGAAAAAGTTTGCCCTCACAGTTTTCTAGGCTTGTGGCTTCTTCAACCTTGAACTGTGACCCCTTGTGGGGACGAGCGTCCGCCAGCTCCAGGTAAGGGCACTCGACTGAGCACTCTAATCTCTTAGGGTAGCTGAGGTGCCGTAGTGCAGGCACCAGTCTGGTGGCCCTCCTTTAGACATTTTCAATCAACTGACAGTCCCGAACATATCTCGGGGACCAGACTCCATGCGGGGAAGCACTTCATTCATAAAGATCGTTACGAGGGACGGACCGTCTAGATATCTGAACGACCTTCTTGTAAGACCTAATAATCTAGTTGCCTGATTTACCTTCTTCTCGCAATGGCCCGAGAACTTCAGCTCATTGTCAACATACACACCTAGGTCCTTTTCATATTCAGTCTCAATTAATGCAGTTTCTTCGTCCTGTTGGGACATACTGTATGATACGCCTCCGTACCGTTGGTCCCTTGCTGTAGGTCGGCGTAGGTCTTGTGTTTTGTAACGAAAAGCGAGTAAAATAACCTAGGGGGGAGGTCAATCGTCAGGTGATCTATTTATTTACCTGACAACACCTCACCTTCGTCAGTAAACACCTGAGAGGAGGCAGCGAGCTGACACTTGATACTGACGGTGGCTTCTCTACTGCCTCACCCAGCA